TCCGTTGGTGGTTCCGATTAACGGATTGACGTATCTCAGTACGGCTCGCTGTGCTCTGAAATCGGACTTGGTGCTGATTAGGTTGATGAAGCCTCGTGTCCCGGAGAGAGGCCACCATAGGACCAGACAGATGACAACAGCAGCGAATACCGCCAGTCGAACAGGTCGGGACAGACCGATGGCTGGGACGAGGAGGGCCATCTTGGACTGGAGTCAAAGGTCGCCGTTCGATTAATGACCAGCAGCCACCAGATGCCCTTAAATCAAGAGTTGAAATAGTTGAACAGAACTTCTGCCCATCAGAATGCCTCCAGGGCCGGACGAAGACTAGTTCGCCGAAGTGATTGATCTGCTTATGCGGTCATGGGGATGTGACCTCAACAAAAATCTGGCGATGAGTTAGTGCATGTCGGTGAGGACTGCCCGGATCACACCAAACCAAAAGAATTGTAATTGTTGATAAAAGTGGTGGAAGTTGAAAGTTGACGATGAAGAAGTCAGAGCTGCAAACTAAGTGGAGACGGCTCCTAAAGGTAGACCAAGGGGATAGTCGAATGTTTCTGGCCTGACGTATGTACGGATAGCTGGTTGGAGCTTGGTAGGGATGGATGACATTCCTTGGTGTGCGATACAACTTGATTCGGAAAGTGACGACTGACGAAATGAACAACAATTCCAGCTTCAGCTGAAGTCAGAAGTCAGGCAAGTCTCGGCAGCTCGTGCTTCGCTCCGTCCCTTTGGTTCAAAGCGGATTCATGCAGCAAGTGCGAACGATAATGATGAGATTTCGAACGGTTAAGCTCGAAGCTTCAAGGCACATGCCGCGGAAGGGGTAACAGGACACATGTTGAGAGACATGTGGGCAGGCAGTCCTTGTTTAAGAAGCCCTCCGCTACTTAGTTTCGTCCATGACAATTCACCCGATGGGATGGATGGATGGGGGCAAACAAGGGTTCTATTTTTTTCTTCCCCTACGAATACCGTATTACTCCATGTCTTTCCGCCTCCTGAAGTGTCTCGCTCTGGAGCCACCAGCCCAAAACGGTAACCTTGTCGACGCCAATACGCAGTAGAGTAGCTGGACCACCAATTGACTTGATGGATCATCTGCAGCTGGCCGGCCCTTTTTTGAGATGGCGATACCTATTGCCTTGTGGATACAAGCTTGGCACCCATTTAGATTGCGGAATCTCTGCTCCAAAGTCCCAGTCTGGCTAGGGCTGAGGGGGGAAATAGGTCATGTAGGTGTCGAAATCTGGCCCGAATAGCGTACCATGTCGTGTCTGCAGGATGAAGCGACGCCAAATCAAGCAGGTCTGACGGGCTGATGAGCTGAGGTAGCACAGCTGCAGAGCCTGATCAGTGATGGGGGCCGCGTTGCAGTAACCTTGCCTTGAGCTGCTTGAATTACCAACCTGGTCGTCACAAATAAGGTTAAATGTTAGTGCAGTTTGTGCCGAGTCGCCGAGTCAGCCGTCCACAAGCCATTTCTCACAATAACGCCGCCAGAAATACTTCCCATAGTGTAGAACACTCTGTGGCTCCGTCTCCAAGACAAAGAGCCACGTGCTCCGAGTTGGCCCCCTTCCACAACGCACCGTTTCTTGTCATCATCTTCTTCTTCTTTCCCTGCTCTCTTCATCGGCATGCCTTCATTCTCACACTGACGCTCCGTGGTCCAGGACGTAGTCCGATTTTCTGTAACGGTCAGGTCCATTATAGCGCAAAGTTTCTCGTTTGCTGGCCTCGTCAGATATCCTGCGACTACCTCAGAAGCCGAGCATAGATCATCCCGACTTGGCTCTGGTTTCCAGTGGAAAGTCCAAGCGGACGCTTATCCGCGCTCAGTTCCACCACGAGCACATTCTACCCAAGATACATCAACAGAAAGCTTCTGGAACATGTCTTCGCAGCAACTTTTGTTCGAGCAATCCGGTCCGACAGCGCGGTGGACCTCTCTCCCCCACCCATCCATCTCATACAATGCATACTGCGTCTTCCTTCATTGGAGGATACCTGCCTGCGAACCACCACCACAATGCACGGCGCCGAGTGGCTGCCGCTGGGCTAACGTTACCGTCTCTTAGCTGGAGATCCAACAGCTGCATCAAGGCGGAGAACCCTGTTCCTCCATCCTGCCATCCTGGCTCCAACTGCCTCGATTCATTCTTGACCTCTCCCACCGGCTATTCTGGAAGCTTGAGTCGGGGACAATCCTTGTCTGTCAAGAAGCGTCAGGGTCCCATCAGCGTTTGAGAGCCAGCTCATACCGACCATGCCTATCTATTCCCACTGCCTTGTTGAAGCTCGCCGACGCATTCAAAACACAATTCGTGGCCTGAGCTTCGTGGACAGTCTGGGCTGCTCGATGCTAAAACGTCGCGGAAGCCCATGGACTCTCTTTCACAGACTTGAGCGTTGGTTTACTTCAACCTACCCACCTCACCCGGAATATCTTCTTCGTCCTGGTCTTTTCCCCATTCTTGTCCCCCACTTTGACGTACTGGCAGACTTGCGGTGGGCACACTAACAAGCAAAACGACATCATTTCCTCCTGCAATACGACAACGTTCTCTTATTAGTCTCCATATACAACGTTTCCTCCCCCGCATCTTGATCATCTCCCCCGCTCATCATCCAAGGTCACGCGAACTGTAGTTCATCCTTGGATCAGAGGAACATGAGGACCCGGACAGGCACTTGACCAACCCCTCTCCGGCTCTTTTTATAATGATGCCCTGTCCGCCGAGGGCCAGGCATCGCGACGTCCGGCGGTCGTGACCGCAACCTCGTTGGAAAAACACCTTTCCATAGTCATCATGGCCCTCTTATACGGCCTCGCCTTCGCCGGCCTGGCGGCAGCTAATCTCAGACCCAACTGTCCTCACTTCACCGACTACGCGGCAACGCTTCACGAACCCTTCTCAGAAGGCGTCCATAAGCTAGCCTACCAGCGTCCCCCGCCAGAATGCCGCACGGCCAGTTATCCCGAGGTCGAGAAGACCATCACCGAGATGAAGGCTCTCGTCAAAGATCCAGACCTCTATCGTCTCTTTGAGAACACGTTCCCGAATACTCTTGACACTACCGTCGCTTGGACCGGTGCTGCCGAAGATAATGCAGACGAGGAGCTCAGCTTCATCATCACCGGTGACATCAACGCCGAGTGGCTCCGGGACAGCAGTAATCAGTTGCAGAGCTACCGCTCTCTACTTACACGCAACTCCTCGGCCGGTTCCCTCGCTGCCCTATACCGCGGCGCAATTAACCTCCAAGCTCGCTACGTCCGCTTTGCGCCTCACTGCAATGCCTTCCAACCACCAGCGGAATCCGAAATAGCCCCCACAGACAACGAGGCCGGCGGCGCGTCAGATCACATCTACCCTCAGTACCCGACCTACTCCTTCTTCGAGTGCAAGTACGTGGATCCCCCCCCCCCCCCCTTTGTCCCGGCCCGTCCCTCAGATCCTCGAAGCCCCGTCCAACTAACACGACACATCAAGATACGAGCTAGACTCCCTCGCCGCCTTTCTCCAGCTCTCCCACGACTACCACGCCGCCACGGCGGACAAGGACTTCTTCGCCCGCTTCAACTGGTCCAAAGCCGTCGCCGTCCTCCTCAACACCACAGACGCCCTCCGCACGGGAACCTACGCCGCAGACGGCACCCTCAACCCCTCCCCGGCCCTCTTTGAGCGCCGCGCCGTCTCCGCCTCCGAGACCTTGTCCAACAGCGGCAACGGCGCCCCGACCCAGGCCGGCACGGGAATGGTCCGCAGCTTCTTCCGCCCCAGCGACGACAGCTGCATCTACCAGCTCTTCGTCCCGGCCAACATGATGTTCGCGCGCTACCTCAACTCGTGCGCCGAGATCATGGACGGCATCGACGCCGGCCTCGCCGAACGCATGAGGGAGTCGGCTAAAGTCGTCCGCGAGGGCATCGAGGCGCACGGGAAGACGACGCACCCCAAGTTTGGCGAGATTTACTCGTACGAAGTCGACGGCTTCGGCAGCCACAATATCATGGTCAGTCCCTCCTCCCGACCTCACTTACACCCCCCCCCCCCCCCAAAGAAAAACGCCTTTCTTTGCATTGATCTAATACACAACCCCAGGACGACGCCAACATCCCCTCCCTCCTCTCCGCCCCTCACTACGGCTACCTCTCCGCCTCGGACCCAATCTACCAAAACACCCGCCGCTTCGTCCTCTCCACCTCGAATCCCTACCAGATGCGCGGCCCCGTCCTCAACGCCACCGGCGGCCCCCACATTGGCCCGGGAAACGCCTGGCCCATGGCCCTCATCGCCCAGCTCATGACCTCGGACGACGACGACGAGATCGCCGGCGGTCTGCGCCAGCTCGTCGCCTCCACCGATCGTCTAGGCCTCATTCACGAGTCTGTGAACAGTCACGACGCTTCCAAATGGACTAGATCATGGTACGTGATTTGTGTTTTTTTGTTTTTTTTTTTTTTTTGCTACGAAAAAGTCGTGGTAAAAACGCTGCGCTTATGCTCCCTCACCCTACCCCGATATAGGACTGGGATTTTGCTAACGAGGTGTCTGTAGGTTCGCATGGGCGAATGGTCTCTTTGGACAGATGATGCTAGATCTGAGAGAGAGGAAGCCGCATCTTCTTGAGAGAAGTTATCAGTAGAGCGGTCGAAATGTTGCTACATATGTCATATAGTGCCCATTGTGTTTCATACATATCTTTGGGGTAATGACCGCTAGCAATGTTGCCCCTACATAGTGCTAGTATAGTAGATATGCAAAGAAAGTGCCCATTCAGGGCTGGTATCACACCCACTGCCATCTACAGACTAAGACTCTATGCCACGTGATAGCATCTTCGCATCGTAAGCCACAAACCTACAGGCCTTTTTGCGGTGCAGTAAAATGATACATTTGCATTTTTGAACACTAGTGATCTGCTCTATCTTCACGTCATAACGTCATGAATGCCCGTCCAGCACACTCTTCTAGGCTACCGCTCGCTCAGCTGAGATCGAAACCAGCTCCCGAGGAAACCGCATAGAGCAGCTTCTGTCTGAGAGTCTCCTGGTTCTTGTAGCGCGGCAACTTCAGTAAGTTGACACAGGTGCTGGTACTGGGCAGTCTCTCCTGATCCTCCCCTCCATCCCTGATACTGAACCGCGGGCTGAGCTGCGAGAAGCCTAGCAGAGGTGCTCGTGGCGTACTCGTAACGTACTTAAGCACGTCGCGCCGCTCCCGGTCGGAGAAGCTGGCCATGACTTTCCAGAATAGCTGAACCGTGGGGTGCTCCAGTCCGTCGTCCCCAATCTCATACAAGCCTGAGTAGACCGTGTTCTGACGCAGATCTTCAATGTCGATTTCGGAGCTGTCGCCTCCCACGAGACGCTGCAACTCGTTTTGATTGAACATTGAAAGCCACGCAGGGGCAATGATCGACCGAAGACCTCGAAGGAAAGCGGCCGTTTGCTGTGCGGGTTGGGCAACGAGGCGATGACGAGCAACGTAGGAAATGTAGAGGAGGCGGTTATCGTTGGTAACGGTAACATTCTCACCATTTGGGATCAGATTCCGCGTGACAGTGCGAACAGGTTCCCCTGGCAAAGACACCTGATCATTAAGCGTGAAGTCCAATGCCCAATCCGCAACATTCCCGTGATGGTTCTTGAGGCGCAACATGCCCTGGTACAACTCCTCATCCAGGTCCCTGAGGTCGTTCACATTGCCCCTGTAGCTGTTCTCTCCGGTCTGGCCCGAGATCCATTTCAGGAGGAAGAAGCCAGCAAACGCAATGTCAACCAGAATCCCTTCGTACATGCACTTGCCTACAATCCGGCCGAGGAACTCGAACTGGCGGAGTAGACTCTGGACTTGGTCTTGCCATTCGGCTGAGCGTTCTGGAACTCCAGCTCGTTTCAACACCTGCCTGAGCTCGTCCATTGCAGTCGGGTTGGGGTACAGGAGCCCCTTGCTGTTGGCCGTGAAAAGCGAAATGCCATCCCTTGGCCCGAACGCTTCTGTCGTGACGCTTGTGAGGAACTCTTTAGTAACTCCGCCACCATCGATGCCAGCTTCGACCGTATCGAATTGGTCGACAAATTGGATCTGTATAGGTTCTTTGAGGCCTTCGCCAAGCTCATAGAATTGCTCAAAGGCATCCTTAAACACCTGACCTCTTCTGATTTGGCCATGATGTCGCCCAGCTGGACTGCGTCCGGAGGAACGCAGAGGATTGTGCAGCATCGTCATTCTCCACTGATCAGCATCCATGCCCTCCCTCCGCTTGTGTTTGTCAAGATAGACAAATTGGCGGAAAATCTGGACACGGGTATCGAATGGAATGACAAATGGCATGTGTCTCAGAATCTCCAATTTTGGCCCGATCACGGCGAGTAGACGATCCCTCTGTGCTTTGCGTTGTTGAGCCCGAAGCTTCTCAATTTGTGCATGCCGTGATACTCGCTGTCCGGCTACGGTGTGAATAATACCGCTGTGCAGCCCACCCATATTCGCGTCTTCGTCAACCTCGCCGTCTTCGTCGTCACTAGAGTCGGAGACTTCGTTCTGTCGTTCTTGTTCAGCGACAACAGCACTGACAAACCCCTCCATATCAAATTTCGATGTCATGAGCCAGTGGTCTCGGGGCAAAAATGGCCGTCGAGAATCTCGTTCGTACAAAAGTCGTAGTGCCGTAGTTACGATGCTACGCAGGCTACCGAGGTCAAGTCTCGTATCAGCCGCATTGGCTCTGGGGTCTTGGCTTCGAGCCTCCTTCGAGGTTTTAGCGGTATTACTACTGCCGCTTCCAAAGTACGACTCAAGTTGTGTCATCGAGATCGGCTCGGAATGTTGGATGCCTTGCAAAATGTCCGCGGCGTTGTAATGTAGCGTGAAAGCTAAGTGCTTGAGCACAATGGTCAAATTCTTCACTTCGCTGAGAGAAAGTCCGCATGCTCGTAGACGAGACGTTGGTCCCTCAGTTTTGATTATGTCAGGGAAGATACCGCTGAAAAAGTCTTCGTCGTCGCTCAAGCGAAGAATAAAGATGTAGAGCTCGAGGAAAAGAAGGACAAGTCTCCATTCTTGCTCATGCGAGTCACTTGACTTTGACGATTTTGACAAGTAGTCGCGCAGCAGGACTTGTACCGATGCCGAGTTTTGCAAAATCTGCTTGTGAATGGTGGTCTGGCTCATAGCCTGCCAAAGAAACTGGATTGTCGGCAAACTTCCCAAGCCCGTGCTAACATCTCCTAGGAAGAGCCGCATACGGATATCATCGCCCTGGCTTGGAAAACAACGGAGAAGAGTGAGAATGTACCCGGACAGCAAGCTGGCGCTTTGGAACTCATGACTTGAGGATTGAGAGCCAAAATTACTGGATAATGTGAGCGACTTTCCGAGTGTAGGAAAAGGATTCACTAACGTAGTGAGCTCGGCCAAAAGCGCCGAAATTCCATCTCGGTTGACTAGAGATGTGAGCTGATTGGTGATGTATGCAGGCAATGGGCGGATCAACGACTCATCCGGGTTGCTAGAATCCACATTCATCGAGGCCGGATCGGCTACTCGAACAGATAGTCGCAAGCTGATTTCTGTGGACAAACTCGAAAGCTGAATATGCAATGTGTCTAGGTGCTTAAGCCCCTGGCTCTTCGGTGCAGCCCTTTGGTATAAGCCAACGAAATGTGCAAGAAGCCAAAGTTGGGCTTCCCTTTCAACGCCGCGTATCCGTCCGTCACTATATATTCTTTTGATAGCTGAGGCGAGTCGATCGGATTCGAGATTTTCGGAAATGACTTTCGAGTGCTCTTCGACAAGATACAGGTCATGACGAGTCAAGAAGGACAGCGCAAATGCCTCGTAAGCGGCCACCAGATACTCATCAGTGGATGCAGCTTGGAGCGACACGAGGAGAGCTTTCGAAGTCGACTCTAAAGCTGCCGTATCCATCTCCGGTACTCCACATATCTCTGCCAGGGCTGTATAGTACTGTCGAAATGATTTAGAAAGTGAATCAGGGGCAACACTTATGATGTGTGTTAGGAGGCTGAGAAAGAGTCGGATCTCGTTGTTTTGACTGCTAGAGGCAGTGTTAGTGGACATCGAGCGTTGTTCGGAGATGGACACCAACGATTTCTTTGTTTGTTCGCCTAGAGCATCCACAAGTATCCGAACAAGACGTGCCAGCCTGGGTGCAGGAAGGTGGCTAGGGGCAAGGCACTCGAGGTTGGTCGTGTTTAGTTCTCTCGCAAAGAGCACCAAGCGTTCAACATCGTCGGGTCGGGTCTGGAAGGTTGTCAACAGCAGTGGCAACGCCGTCGCTAGTCTCTGCTGTGTACCAAGGTCCGAGGTACTCGAGTACAGAGTATCAAAGGCGTCCCGGCGAGAGTCTCGAAGCCGCCTCCTAACCCTGTGGCCCCTCCATGTTTTCTGAATCTTCTCGGAGGCTTTCAGCCTGTCTCGATCCTGCTGTCTCTGTGCGCGTTCGGCTTGAGCATTAGAAACGGTCTTAGAGGCTCCTGAGCCTGCGGCAGGCGTCCATGATGTTGCGGCAAAGGGATTGAGGCTCTGGCCACTGAGGTTCACATTCCGGGGGCGTCGGGAGTTGCCCGTGAAGGTGGGAAACATGTTTCCTCGGAGAAACGATGCCTAGTGAAAGAAGTGAAATGGTAAGGTTGTACCATGTCAAGAAGAGATTCACAGAACCAACAAGGTGCAGGTAGCTGCGAAGGTGGAGGATGAGGAAGTCGCGAGCGCGGTTGACTTCCAGAAGCTTCAGCACGTTCGGATGGGGTGTATGTAATCGAACTGTCACTGGAGGGGGATTCACAGGCTTGGGCATCGGCTCTGGTGGGGTCTACCTTAGTCTCTCGAGGTGCCTGGCTTGGTGAGGTAAGCTGGAGCTGGTCCCAGCGTCAGGTTGTGGAAGGTTCCGATGTGACGCGTGCAGGCACGAGCTTTCTGGCCTGGTGGGTCCTGGGGCCCGGGGACAGCAAGGTCAGGTACGTATCCTACGTTGGATAAGAGAATGGGGGCGGATGAGTCCAAGCGCCGCCCCCCTTGCACCCTGCCATCCGGGGAGGAACACACAAACCGACGTTGACCTAATTGCTGCTAGTTGGCCATAATCATGGTGGACATATCCGATGACATCTTTAAAGATGGATGGGCCCGATGATGAAAGGTCACAACACAAGGCAAGACAGTTGTTAAAAATCAGTAGCATCAACATACGGCTGTCGCAGCAGATGGAAGTCTATCATGGCCGTGTTATGCTTTCAAGACACGGCTGACTCGGATTGCCGTCTCTTTACTCGCGCAAATGTCGGTGAAGATGCCAGCCCAGGTGAACCCGGATGAGGAAGGTACACTGCTGTCGAAAGGTTGAAGAGTCGTGCGAAAAGCATCCAAGATGTTCAATGCTCAGAAAAAACTGCAGGAGAGGTATGGTGGTAGACTCTTCTAAAATCAAGATAATCCCAACGGACTCTACGCGCATGAATACCTCTATACAAAACTACAAACATGTTGCACGAGCATTCATCCGGGCTCTGATAATCGTCTGTTCTCTTGATAGACCCCCAAGCATTAGCCAGGAGGAGATGGGCCGTGGTTAACAGGCTCTGGGGCTATACTGGTATAGATATGCAGAAGAAACCCGGCGCCCGCATGTTGGTAGTTCCATTCGAGCCTGAGGGCGAGAGGCTGAGTGCTTCAAGCCGTCTCGCGTGTCTTGGGCTTCAACATTATTAAGGTGCTTCAGTTTCGGGCCCTCAGATTCGTGTCTAAGGCGGCAGCTAACGATTTGATGGAAGTGCCGGCTTTCTTCGTGGGCAATTGTGGCACAGACAAGCGCGTTTAGGTGCCACGTTCCCAGCCACGGCTCTTGGTGCGAAATCGCCCTTGCTTTTTTGGAAATGAGCAATGTCCCTGACGTTGTTTTGTCGCACACCGCAGAAAGAGAGAAGACCAGCCAAGGTGTGACATTCTCATCGATTCTGTCTGCCGTGACTGGCTGTCAGTCAAGGTAGCATGTCGCATTACTCCTCCTTATTATGCCTGAACCTGTTTGTTTCTACCAAAAAGGTGCTCCAGACACCTCCAGATCGGCAATCTTCTTTTTTGTTTGTATTTTCGTCACAGGGTTCGCCGTTGAATCGGAAATGGTCGCATAAATTTCCGACGTTTCTCCACTAAACCAGCTACCTCAACGCTCGTACTTGTGTCGACGCTGGCCTGATGTTCCTATCTGTTATCAGTGAGCTCCTACTACTATTTACGATAGTGACCGAATGACCAGGACTTGAACGGCTTGTACCCCACCTTGCTGGCACATGCCCTGCTCCTGGCGCGGGCTGCCCCTCCCCTCGACAAAATCTGGAAGGCGAGGAGGGACACACAGCATGAGGAGCAGGAGCGCCAAAATCGAGTGGTGGGAAGGCACCACCCTCCACTGCAGGTAGGCAGATCCAGTAAAAAAAAAAATCATCCCGCGAAAGCCACATTCATTGAAAAATCTCTCCTCTCTCTTCTTCTTTTCTCCGTTACCAACCACACCAAACCCTATCAACAACCCCCTTCACATCTAAAGAGGGTCTGGCAAGGAGTACGTCTTCGTACTTGTTCTCTGTCTCGCTCACTTTTTCCATCAGAAAAAACTTCAAAAAAAAACTTGAAAATCCCCCATCAAAAACTCCCAACTTCCATAACGGAATTCCCCTCCTCAATCGCAAGAAAATTCTAGAGGAATCGTTCATCGAGCCTCTTTTCTTGCTTTTACCTCCACACCTGCCTGTCAATTTCGCAACAAGTGCCCCTCGTGTGTGTCGGTCAAACGTCACACATCGCCATAACCTCATTCGACGATACAAGGCTCGCCTTCTCCTCTTCTTACTCTTATCCCCTCCGACCACATCGTCTCGGTCTCGTCCAACGACCGATCGTCAGATTTTTTGACTTGGTATGTGCTGTATCCCCTCACATCCCCCCTTCTCCTACCTCACCGTCGACTTCCACCAAAGTGTGCGGCTCGCAAATTGCTACCCCGCCTTCCAAGTCGCGGGCTCATTCCTCCGTCATCTCAACCTGCCTCTAACGTCCACTTGGTGTTGCAGTATCTTTTCCCCTAGTCAATTCTACTACCGATACAATGGCTTCCGCTCCCAACAACGGCGCTGTCGACCAGCTCGCCAACGACCTGGGCAACGCTTCCCTCAACGGCTCTGACTCTAAGGCTGCCCCCGCCATCAACACCAATGTTGAGTCTGCCGCTCAGGGCGACAATGCCGACACTGCGGGCCCTACCCCCAGCTCCGCTGCGCCTCACCCCCAGGCCTCCGCCTCCCTCTACGTTGGCGAGCTCGATCCCTCTGTTACCGAGGCCATGCTTTTCGAACTCTTCTCCCAGATTGGTTCTGTCGCTTCCATTCGTGTCTGCCGTGATGCGGTTACCCGCCGCTCTCTCGGCTACGCCTACGTGAACTACAACACTACCTCCGATGGCGAGAAGGCTCTCGAGGAGCTCAACTACACCCTCATCAAGGGCCGCCCCTGCCGCATCATGTGGTCCCAGCGTGACCCTGCTCTGCGCAAGACTGGCCAGGGCAACGTCTTCATCAAGAACCTCGATGTTGCCATCGACAACAAGGCTCTCCACGACACCTTTGCCGCTTTCGGTAACATCTTGAGCTGCAAGGTCGCCCAGGATGAGAACGGCAACTCCAAGGGCTACGGTTTCGTTCACTACGAGACCGACGAGGCTGCTTCTCAGGCTATCAAGCACGTTAACGGCATGCTTCTCAACGAGAAGAAGGTTTACGTCGGCCACCACATCCCCAAGAAGGACCGCCAGAGCAAGTTCGAGGAGATGAAGGCGAACTTCACCAACATCTACGTCAAGAACATCGCCACCGAGGTCACCGACGATGAGTTCCGCGACCTTTTCGCCGCCTTTGGCGACGTCACCTCTTCCTCGCTTGCCCGCGACCAGGAGGGCAAGAGCCGCGGCTTTGGCTTTGTTAACTTCACTACTCACGAGGCTGCTTCCAAGGCTGTCGACGACCTCAACGGTAAGGACTTCAAGGGACAGGACCTGTACGTCGGCAGAGCGCAGAAGAAGCACGAGCGTGAGGAGGAGCTCCGCAAGTCTTACGAGGCTGCTCGCATGGAGAAGGCCAACAAGTACCAGGGTGTCAATCTCTACATCAAGAACCTCGACGACGAGGTTGACGACGAGAAGCTTCGCCAGCTGTTCGCCGATTTTGGCCCCATTACCTCTGCCAAGGTGATGCGCGACAACGCTACCGACTCTGGCAACGAGGATGAGGGTTCTTCCGAGGAGGCGGACAAGGAGAACAAGAAGGAGGAGGTCAAGGCCGAGGAGAAGGAAGAGGCCGAGAAGACCGAGGAGAAGGAGGACGGCGAGAAGAAGAGCGAGAAGAAGTCGGACAAGAAGCCCCATGGTAAGTCCAAGGGCTTCGGCTTCGTCTGCTTCAGCAACCCCGACGACGCAACCAAGGCCGTTGCCGAGATGAACCAGCGCATGGTCAACGGCAAGCCTTTGTACGTCGCTCTTGCTCAGCGCAAGGATGTTCGCAAGAGCCAGCTTGAGGCTAGCATCCAGGCTCGCAACCAACTCCGCATGCAGCAAGCCGCCGCCGCCGCCGGTATGCCCCAGCAGTACATGCAGCCCCCCGTCTTCTACGCCGCGGGCCAGCAACCCGTCTTCCCCCAGGGTGGTCGCGGCATGCCCTTCCCTCAGGGCGGCATGGCCATGCCTCCCGTTCAGGGTGGCCGTCCGGGCCAGTTCCCTGGAGGATACCCCCAGCAGGGCGGACGTGGTGTTCCCCAGCAGATGCCCCCTGTCTACGGCATGCCCGGCTCCTTCCCTCCCGGAGGTGCCTACCCTCAGCCTGGTAACCCGCAATTCATGGCTGCCATCCAGCAGGTGCAGCAGGCTACCATGGGCGGCGGTCGCGGCGGTCCCCAGGGCGGCCGTGGTCCCGTCCCCCAAGGAATGCCCATCCCCGGCGGCCCCGGCATGCCCGGCTTCCCTCCCAACGCTCGCCAGGGTGGTAACCAGCCCGGCGCCGGCCGTGGTGCCAACCCCAACGCTCCCCGCAACGCTCCCTTCCCCCAGGGTGGCCGTGGAGCCCCTGCTCAGGAGCTCAACAGCGGCAGCCTCATCCAGCAGCAGCTTGCTGCCGCTGGCGGTAACCCCGGCCAGCAGAAGCAGATTCTCGGTGAGGTCATCTTCCCCAAGATCCAGGCTATCCAGCCTGAGCTTGCCGGAAAGATCACCGGTATGCTTCTCGAGATGGACAACGCTGAGCTTGTTAACCTGTAAGTTGAAACAACCCCTACGTACACTGATCTCTCACTAACATTTCGCAGCATCGAGGAGGAGTCTGCTCTCAAGGCCAAGGTCGACGAGGCCCTTGGCGTCTACGAGGAGTACATCAAGGCCCAGGGTGGCGAGGAGGGCGAGAAGAAGACCGAGGAGACTAAGGCCTAAGCCATCTCCTCCACATTCACGCAACGTCATGAGCATGATTTCCTTATGTCATCATACCCCTTGTTATTGGGCATCCTTTCTACGACCAGTGAGCATTCAACGACAACGCTCATGA